TTTCTTTTTGAAAAATATAAATAAAATGATAATATAATTATTATAGATTTACAATTATATTATTATCCATGTCAAAATTTTAAAACATTTTACTTTTTTCTCACATAGGAAGATAGAACAATAACGTAACAGTTTAAGATTTACAACATAAAAATAATATCAGAATTGGAACGCCAAATCATAATCAACACAATTAACACAACTCTAATGGGAAATTAGAGTTATCTTGTGATTAAAATACTAAACAAACAAAACTAACCGAAACAAAACAAAAGTCTTCCTTTCAAAATCATTAACGTGACGGATTGCTGACTGATTAAGTTGAAGCTTTAGGCATTTAAAGATCTAGAAAGATGATTAAGGTTAAACATTTTTATTTATTTTAAACAACGTTTGAATGTTGACAAAAAAAGAAGAAGAGAGTGTTGGGACCATCGGGAGAGACAACGTTGAGCAGCTGCGAAAGAAGCCAACGTTGTCTATTATGTTCCTCACAGTGTTTGATTTGACTTCTGATGACATTACACTCCTGTCCACTTGTTGTCTCGAAAGTTCATGCAATGGAAAATTATTAAACAAAACAATTTACTTTTATGTATAAATCCTAGGGAAGAACCAATCAAGCTAAGATCAATGGTTGTAGTTTTAGTACCGTATACTTCTCAAATATACCCGTTGAATAACGGAAATCCGCAAGACGGGGAGGAGACGAAGTCAACCTAGCTGGCAAAGGAGCTAACCCAGCACCTTTGGTCTTATTTATGGTCATATGTATTTAGCAAAATATGGTATACAAACCGAACCAATCAACAACAAAACCTGGTTTTAAATTGTTGTATATTTCTCAAAAGTCAAAACCCATAATAACCAATGGAACAGAAGAAGCTAATGCAGAGCATACTTACGCTTGGAGTAAAGAGTGATGCAAGCTTCCATTGGCACACCCGAAAACGCATCAGAGCATGGAAAGAAACCTAAAAACCAATAAATTAAACAATAATTAAATCTTAGTGCATGGAAAACGAATCCTATACATACCAAAGTCCGAATCTCAGTGCTTTAGAATGACCTCGATACCAAAAACTTTAAGTTACTACTTCCATATATGTAATATTTTAGTTTGGGGAGAGAGATTGGCAACGAAGAGTAATTCCTGAATTTAACAGCCAAGTTTGTTATCCCTAATCTAAAGAGAGGAATACTTAAATTGTATTAACGACAAAAATTAGCCTCCTCTGAAGATTCATCCCTGAAATAAGTCATCTTTCTGACTTTGTGGCAACTGTGTTATCAAAAGTTGAGTGTTTCTTCTGAAAAAAAGACATATTTGAAAATAATAAGAACATGTACCTCAACAAAATCGGGAGGTACCTCATCTTTTTACAACAAAAAGAAACATACCAAACCATCGATGATTACCTTCTCAAAAGTTGAAACCAAACTTTTTGATTATAAAAATTGATTAGTGGTGAAAATAGTGAAACCATAAATACAAAAAAAAATATATCAAATTTGTACATATAAACTATAAGATCACCTGTTTATTCATTGAATTAGGTCCAAATTTTCCATACACCAGTTCACATCGTCCCCTCCATACATCCACCCTACAATAAAAAGAAAAATTAAAATTAGGTAGAAGCAAAAAAAATTTTGAAAAAAAAGAACAAAAAAACAAGGGTTAGTTATGATCTGAAATTGAATACCATGAGCAAGGTATTTATATTGAATAGGAGGCGGTGCATGATTTAGGGTTTCTAAATTTTTCGACGATAAATACAAAAAAAGAAAAGAAAATTTACATATTTTAATAAGCAAATCACTATCATAATAATAAATATTTGTAAAACTGCCATTTATTCATTGTTATCCATGTTTATTTAAAATAATATTTACTTTTTTCCGTAAAAATATGGAATAATAACAACTATTTTAGATTTATTATTATATCTGATACTATCTTATAAAATATATTAAAATTTAAGGGAAAATTCCTTTCTGTTTCAAAAATAAGGCGGAACAATAATATAATTTTTGATTTACAATAGATAGACATGCATGGTATCCATATGCGTCATGTCACGCTGATCCATATTTTTTTTCCAAAACTCGATCTAATTGCTATTATGTGCAAAAATCACTGCCGTTCACGTTCATGTTCACGTTAGCACTCCATACCTTAATTCACATGTAAACCTCTCTGCCTATCTCTGACTTCAGCTCTCTCATCTTCGAGTCTCCCCAAGAAAGTTTTGACACCACACCAACATTTCATTCGTCAAAATTAAATCGAGTTTGCACAAGGTTACAACCGATTAATAGGTGGTCTTCTACCTTCTATTTACGATTTTATGCTATGAATATATGTTTTTGTCAGGGTTCAAGTCAATCTCCGGATTAGAGACTTATAATCATCCGACGAACAATACGATGGCGTGATAACCGTTTCTAAATTGGTGGGTTCTCTTTCATTGATCTACATATTATTTTTTGTTCATTTTTTTTTCCAAATATTTAGATTGAAACGACGACGAACACGACGATCATACCAAAAATTTCATCTATTCCGGTACGTTTGATCTTTATTTTAATTAGTTTAACAATTAATAGCCGTTTACGATTAATTTCGGATATCTAAATCTTATTAGTTTGAGTAAGGTTAGAATAGTATTCTTTTATGTTTATATTAATGCTCCGATTAATAATTTTCGGATATTTGACATTATCATCTTAAATATATCAATATTATAATAAATATTTTCCTTTTCCATTTTTTTTTTTTGGTATAATTCCTTTTCCGATAAATTATGAAACAGATCTGTTTACACAAAAAGTAAAAAAAAAAAAAAAAAAAACCATCAACCGTCTCCATTCACACGTTTCTTCATTATGATCACGAATTCACGTTCATGGAAGCTTCATCATACATTAACACTTACAAGTTTCTTCGTCGAGTTTTTATCCAAGGTTTCTTCGTCAACTCTGTATCCAAGGTAATAAATATTTGTTCTTTTCATTGGTTAGAATTATAGGGTGCAGGATAGTATTGACGTCTTAAACACATAACATGGGCAAGATACTATGAGAAGCTTGACTATTCTGCTTCTATAGATCAACAGGTGAAATTCTATCACTAAATTATTAGATCTCTGTTATTGCTATGAATATATGCTTTATATTAGGATTTCAAGTTTTGCCTTCGTTTAGAAGAATTATATTCACACGACGAAGAACACGATGAATTCAATTAAAGCTTCCTAACTGGTACTTCGTTGTTCCTTTTTTTTTTTGGTTAATTATCATGTTTATTGTTTCCAAAATTATTTTTTCCTGGTTAATTCCGAAATTTAATTTAATTTTTCCAAAATTAATTAGATTTCATTAAGGGTAATTAAGTAATTGCGTAAAATCAATGACTCAACAAGAGCCGAGAGTCCGACACGTCAGCAAAAACACTTCTCAAATATTGTTATATATAGATAAATAAAATATGACAATTAGGATTCTCTTATAAATTATGATATCAAAAGTAGTAGTCTAACCTGTAAATTCAAAGATTAAATAGTCATTTCTTTACTTGGAAGTAAAAAAATAATTAAGAATCATGAAATCATTTTGAATATTAGAAATTTTGTGTTTTGATAAGAATTGTCGAAAAATATTCGGAAACGTGCTAGACATGTAAGCAAGTTTTCAATGGTAAAATATTTTTATGGACTTGAACCATTAGATACATTTGATCAAGTTTTACGCTAAATTTCATTTCCGCAACCAAATGATTCCAAATTTTTTCTACCTCAAAATTGCAATTCAAATTTTTTTGCCCGAGCCCTAATCAACTTTTTTTTCACATATATAATCATTTTACAATATCAGCATCAAAGTACAGGTGTGTAATATTTGGCATATATGAATTTTGGTGTGAACCATTGTATAATGTTTGGTTTACCACTAGTGAAACATGACATAACCACCATTGTAAAAAATCATGAAGTATTTACGCCAGTTAATCTAAAACTCTTATACTAAATGAGCTAAACAAAATTTTGCTTGTTTCTGCGAAAGATCGGATGTGATTATTAGAGGTTAGATTTCTATTAAGAAAAACTACTGATCCGAGGAACTTAATATGGTGTTGTATACAAAAGGAAACCATACATTTTTCTTTAAAAATTATCAGTTTTGAGTATTTATATATATCATTCTAGATTGAAATGTCTAGATTATTATGTGTTTGAAATACTTGGGCACCTACGCTTTTCATAACATACATAGCATATCTTATGTTTTGGCCAATTAAAACACAAATAATCTTCCATGTAACAAGATAGATAGATAGATATATAGATCGATAGAATTAAACACAAGGTATGTATATCACCTAAGATGATAATGAGAAAATGAGAAAACATCTTTAGAAAACCAATCTCCTTCATCAGAAGTTAATTCCAACCAGTCATGAGCATCCATGTATCATCTATGGGTTCATGAAATTTTGTAAAATCATAACCCCATGTCAAAGATGCTTGCTCTGGAACATAAAAGCACGTTGTAGCATCCATATTCAAAGTCATCACCTCATCAACAATATTCTCACATTTGGTAGTGACAATTTCTGAGTTTGTAGTTATAGAATCAACTTCTCTGTTCACACTACAAAAAAAATTCACATTCTTAACACGACAGAAGTGCTATAATACGTCATTCATAGCGTTTTCATAAACGTTGTTTCTGCTCCAGTTATTATAGACCCCCCACATACGATAGCATTTTCGGCATGTTATGGTAAACCCCCACATACGATAGCATTTTCATTTTATTGCTTTAATCAAACGCTATAATATACTTTATTATAACCCACGTTTAGTGCTATTTTATATAATGTCGTAGATTTTTTTTTTTGCTATATAAATTTAATTTGATTTATAAAATAAATTTTATTTTGGAACCCAATTTTGTAAAATTTACTTAATTGGACATATATATATATATATATATATATCATCAAGAAGTAAATATTTCATTAACCAAACAAGTCATACATAACATCATATTAAGTCTTATACTTATTACTAAAATGCTGCCTAGTCTTAAACAAACTAAAACTAACATCACAAGGGGAAAATAAAAAACTTCTTAAAGCCTTCAAAATCATCATCTTCTTAAACTAGCTTCTTTATACCCGTAGAATGTGTTATCTCGTACCTAAGCCTCACAACATTCTTATCACATGACGAAAACAAGTCTTTGAAACCATCCTCTCACTTAACCTGTTTTACAATAAAACAAAACAAACGAAACCAATACAATCAACAACGTTCATGGACTTTCTATATCTCCTTACTTGAACATGTCGTCTCATAATAAGAAGTAGCAACATCAGTTTTTAACTAAGGGACATATTGCAAGGATATACTAAGATAGAAAAGACAGAGATAAAAGAACAAACCAAAGGTTAGAAAGTATACAAAGAGTTAGATGTAAATTGATTCTTTGAGAGCAATGCCATTTGCAAACTGAAAGTAAACAAACCTCAGTTCCTGCAAATTGCTTCAAAATTTTCTTGCCAAAGCTCAGGAGCAACTCTTTCAATGGTGTCTCTAGCAGAAGATCTGCATCCACCCTTGAAAAGAATAATGCTTAAGGTAAGTCTACATAAAATCTTACCAAGAAAAGTAGCATATAAATTAGTTAAACAAAAGACACATACACAAATAGCATCTGAAGAACTATTATCTTTTCCCCTGCTCTCAATCACCTATCACACCATAGAGATTGTATCAGATTAAAAACTTTAAAATGTAGAAGGTTCCGTTGATAGCTTATGAACCATACCATTTTGAAGATGGTGTGATATCTGCTAATATGAACATTCATGTTTGTCTTGCCAAAGTGCCTATTAACTGTTAATTGAACAAGACCAAGTCAATACACATTAGACATACAAAAATGTAGGTAAACAAATACTTCTTAGTAAAGCTTTGCCTTTAAAAGCTTATCCAAAATCTATAAGCTTTAAAATCTGTTCAGCGTCACTAATAATTTCTTTCTTAAGACCAGCAACAAACACTCCACGTTGTACATCAAGAGAAAGCAAGAGAATTTAAACACTCATAAGCAAACTAATGAAGAAGATATTACTGATGAAAATAATCAAAACCAACCTCCAAATGTTCATGAATTTGTAGTCTCTGGTTCTCAACAGTCAACACCTAAAAGATCGTCAATTTCTTCGTTGTAAATTTCCATGTACGAAACTCACAAATCAAAAGCTGTACTCTTTTTCTTACTTCACATATCATTGAATAATCAAAAGTTGTACTCTTGTTTGTCAGATGCTTTTCGTGTCTAAGTCTTAGTGAGTCATAATTTCCATTTCTCCTTTTCTGTTTTAGCGGAAATGTGAATCAATTCAATCAATCAGAACTGCCCTAAAGATTCAAATTACACATCTTTCTTCTTTATGCAAAGGATTGAATCTAAAATTTTCGAAAATAATCAGAGAACTCACGAAAGTTTTTCCTAGTTTGGGTACGGAGATAGATCTGAACGGCGGGAGAAGATAGACGACGGAGCTCCGAAGGAAGAGAAGAAGAACCGGGTTTGGTGGATCCGAGAATGGATTTGAAAGTAAGAGAAGACGCCATAAAGATCTGAATGGCTTTTGTGGTCTTCTTCTTCTTCTTCGTTGCGCAAATGGAGGAGGCGATTGGATTTGACCGCCATTGGAGGAGAAGATAAAAGTTTATCACTAGGCTTCAAGACAACAGTCGTGAACCCATGTCTGAGAATCCCAGCAGAATAAATCCATGTATAGATCTAGTAGAAACTTGGTATGTCTTGAAGCTTTGATTACTTCTAGAACTATGGATCTGATATTGGAGAAATAGAGGGTAATTTGAGATTTGATATCGGATTAAGAGAAGTGGGAAGAGAGGCGGTTGGGTTTAAAAGAGGAGAAGCAAGTCGTCTGAGTCGTCTAATGGTGGAGGAGTAGATCGAGATAGAATGAAGAGAATAGTTTTTTTTTTTGTTTAAAGCTTTTTTTTCTGTTTAGTTTTGGAATATAAAAAGAAACAGTAGCTGTAATTGTGTTATTTTTGTCTAAGGTGGTGTTATTCAATGATGGATTTTAATAGAATTGAAATCCAACACTAATCCAGTGTTATTCAACTAATGATTATAAATCTAACGTTAAAATCTGGTGTTATTAGATCTTATATTTCATTAGATTTTAAAAGTTTGGTGTTATTCAATGGTGGAATTAAAGTCAATTCTTTAAGGTTTGTAAAATCCAGTGTTATTCAAAACTAAAAGACTTGTAAAATCTTTGTATATTAAGTCATTTCAAATGAAACCTCTTTGGAGTTTCATGAGTAAATTATTAGAATCAAAATCCAAGATATACTGCAGAGATTTTGAAATCCACACAAACAGATTCTTAAAACCAGTATCAGAAAACAAATCTAAACTTTAAAGAATTGACTTTAACTCCACCATTGAATGACACCCCCTAAGTATTAGCGCCAATGATAAAAATTAGTCTCCAAAAACTCCCGCTTAAGTGAAATGTCGGTTTAGCATTTTTAAAATGCTATAATAGAAATCTCCAATCTAGTTAGTCCCTTTTAATAGCAGTTACGAAAACTGCGCTATCGTAATGTGCTATCAATGCTCATTTTTCTTGTAGTGTCATAAGGCCATTGTTGATTGTGATAGACCTTATGTAATTTTCGAGGGCGTTGTTTCGAGGGGGAAGGGCATCACTTTTCTTGGTCCTTACGGTGTGTAGTCGACGTTTTGTAGTATTCTAGTGATTTTTAACAATATTTTCACTTCGTCCAGGGAGTCTTTTAGCAATTTCGGTCCATTTATTGCCTATTATCTTGTGGACTTCAATAAGTATTCGATCTTCTTCTTCACTCCATAAATTTTTCTAAAAACACATGGAATATGCTAGCCGTTACTATGCATATATATGCATATACGTACCATATATATATGTGGGAATTTGGTTGGAAGTGTCATTCACTGTAGCAAAACTTATCAAAAATGCCACAAAACATAAACCTTTTCAAATGTGCCACAATTGAACTTTATGAAATAATAAAGAAGACGAAAATGCCCCTTGACTAAACAAGTGGGAAAGAAATGAGAATGTGTTGAGTACACAATACCCACGTGCCTTTTTGTTTTTATTTGTGGTTTTAATTAATCTATATTTATTTAAATGTCAGATATTTGGTATTTAAATAATTCATGCAGATGCAATAAAGATGTCATTTATCGTGAACAACTACTATTATTGTCCACATCTAATATTCGTGGACAAAATCTAAAATCCTTGTCCATATTTGAAACAACAATTTCGAAGATATTTGGCGGACAAAATTTTGAAATAACAGACTTGAAGAATTTTGGTAGACAAGTATTGTTGTCCACGTTCGAAACAACAGACTTAAAAGATTTTTGGTGGACGAAAAAACTTGTCTACATTTGAAACAACAGAGTTCAAAGATATTTGGCGGACAAGATTTTCAAATAACAGACTTGAAGAATTTTGGTAGACAAATATTGTTGTCCACGTTCGAAACAACAGATTAGGAAGATATTTGGTGGACCAAAAAACTTGTCTACATTTGAAACAACAAAGTTCGAAGATATTTGGTGGACAAGAATTCAAAACAACATATATCAAAAAAAAATGGTAGACAAAAAATGTTGTCCACGTGCAAAATATAACAGATCTCGTCTATCTTCTTTTTCAGATTTAGACTCGCTTCTACTTTCTAAATTAGATTCAGACCCAGATCCGTTAAAAATTCGAAAACAATGCAAATAATATTTATTTGAAATTAAATTGGACCATATTTGAATAAGAAAAAGAAAATCAAAATTTGAGAAACTTTTATATCTATGGAGATTGAGTTATCCATGGAGATTGAGCTCTATTATTAGAGAAAAGAGAGAGATGAAAGAGAAATGAGAGAAAAGGAGAAGAAGAATGGAAAAAAAGAGAAAAAGAAACGTGGAAAAAGAGAAATAAAAAATAGAATTGTTTATTAATAATTTGGTGGAAGGGTAATTTTGACATTTCTCGTAGGGACTATGGCAATTTTGGAAAGAGTGAAAGCCTTTGTGGCAATTTTGCTAAGTTTTGCTAGATCATATGGCACATTTGTTAGATTTCTCTATATATATAATACTAGTATTAGACCCGTACTTCGTACGAGAAAAATAATCTTAAAACTTAAGATGTCAAAAATTAAACATGACCGAATAGTTACACAAAGTAGCTTCAGACATATAAATATCATTTTCGTTTTGTTCTCAGACTCCCAATTTTTGTTGGCATTTTTACTTGATTCTTCATTTATGGATGGATAAAGTAGCTTATAAGATTTACATGTTTTCTTAGGTCAATTCGATTCCTTTTATATTTTTGCCTAAACTGTTAATTATTGATGAATCATAGCTTTACTATTATTTCACCAGAAGTCTACTTACATTGATAATAGTATCAGGTTTGTGTACCTTTTCATCCATGAGGATAACTTCTATGCCTAGAGTTTTACTTTTGGAATAAAAGTCCCAAGTTCTTAAAGATAAAGCTCTTATTTTCCAGTGGCATTGGCATTAGTTTTCAACCTGATTTAAGTAAAATCAGAAAAAATTAATATGAGATAAAGAGAAAATGAAATTGAATAAAGCATAAACCTGGATCGGCTTCCTTAGATAAATTCTGTGAATATGAAAAATAAACAGTTCTTTGACCCCAAAAAAAAAAAGGAAAAATAAACAGTTAAAATGATGAAGAGGAAGAGAGACTGACAAAATAGAGATGATAAATCGAGAAGGGGATGTATGAGAATCTCAGAAAATAAAATGATAGAAAAGGAGAGAAAATTGATAAGAAATTGAGTTGATTGGAAGTTAAATAGGAGATGAAACAGTTGTAAAACGTGACATATTCATTTTGAACGTGGTGGTAGTGTGAGAAAATTTAGGAATTTAGTTTATGGATTGAAGAAGAAGATCGGAGGATGAAAGTGTTCCAATTTTTTGTTTTTTTTTCTCTAAATAATTTTGACATTTATTTATTTTTATTTTTTTTTCCCTTACCACGATCTTGATATTAACTCTTTTTTTAAGGCTTTTTTTTAACAAAATTTTGTAACAAAATCTACGTGGCAGTTTTTAATTGGTCAGGTGACTTGTGATTTATAATATAATAAAGGATAAAAATCGAAAAATTAAAGGAAAATATTACTTTGATGTCCGGACCAAGATGGTTGTGCCCTAGGAAGCACGGAATCTTCGTCGGAGGTCAGCTTCCCGCTTCGGAATCTTAGTCGGAATCGGAAGCTCTTGGAAGCTTTCGGAATCTCGCTTCCATCGCGTTTCCAAAAATTCGACTTTGGAAGCTCGTTGGAAGCTTACGATTCCGGTTTGGAAGCTTGCGCTTCCATTTTATAAATTCAATTTTACAAATAAAACATGAAATTATTATTTTTAATCAGACAAACTCAAACTAAAAATTTTGCATACTAATCTTTGTATTTTATTTTTAACAAAATCATGTTTAGAAAATAGCAATGACATGAATCTAATATGTGAGAGATATTATAAATGATTAATTAATTTAGATTAATTTCGAGAGACTTGAGTTTGATAATATTTTTACCTATAATATACATAATTTGAAACGATTTTGTTTGATGTTATTTAAAAAAAGAATGAATATAGTGTTATAATTTTTTTCTTGAATTATTTGATTTTGTTTGTTGTAAAAATTGGTTTAATTTTTAAATTTAGTTTTTAAAATTTATTTATTAGATTTATGGGGTTAATATAACTTGTAATATGATATAATGTTTAATATTTAGTTATATATATACATATATATATATTCTTTATATATACTATACGCTTCCATCGCGTACCGCTTCCGTAAAATTTTCTAAAAAATCGCTTCAGCGCTTCTAAACGATTCCGTTTCCGCGTATCCGCTCCCGTTTCCATGCAACATAGCCTTGTGCCACCTCTCTCTACCTAGGAAGCACGGAAGCTTCGTCGAAGGTCCGCTTCCCGCTTCGGAAGCTTAGTCGGAATCGGAAGCTTTTGGAAGCTTTTGGAATCTCGCTTCCATAGCGTTTCCAAAAAATTTACTTTGGAAACTCGTTGGAAGCTTACGATTCCATTTTAGAAGCTTACGTTTCCATTTAAAAAATTTGATAATCAAATATTAATAAGAAACATGAAATTACTTTTTTATAGTATTTTTTACAATTAAAAGAAACCAAAACTAATTTAAAATTTAAATTTTTGCATACTAAGTTTTTTATTTTATTTTTAAAAGATCATGCTTAACAAAATAACCACGACATAAATTATTTATTTGGAAAATGTTGGAATGAATAATTGACTTAAATAAACTTTGAGAAACTTGAATTTGATGATGTGTTATCGATAAAATAGAATTTGAAACTATTTTATTGGATGGAATTAAGAAAATGAGAGTGAAGATAGTGATCTAAAATTTTGACTTTGAACTATTTTATTTATATTAATTGTAAAAATAAACTATTTGGTTTTTATTTGTAGATGAAGTATTTAAAATTTATGTATTAGATTTACGTGGTTAATTATATGTTTTAATATTATATAATGCTTAATGTTTTATTATATATGTATATTAATTTCTATATACGCTTCCAACACGTACCCACTTCCTAAAATTTCTAAAAAAATCGCTTACACGTTTTCAAACGCTTCGCTTCTACGTACCCGCTTCTGATTCCATGCAACCTAGCTCTCTACATTGTTTACCTACTCGTCCTTGGAACATTTTTGCGATTGATGTCCAATTTTTTATTCCATTACGTTTCACCATTTTCACCAACATCCTACGTGTATATATATATATGTCCCAACACACATATTAATAATACAAAATCCTCAACAATAATAATTATATCATTTAACAAAAAAAATATTTGTAAAGATTTTTTATAATGGAATCATTACTTTTCTTGTCAACATATTAAATTATTAACTTTATGATGAGAATAAAAAAAAAACTTACTCGTCTTCAGTAGCAGTCCATTGCCCTTTGATAATAATGTCTTTCTTCTTAGGAAAAAAGATATCTGGCTACACCAAGTATAGGTGAAGACATGGCCACACATGCGAAATTTAATAATGGATCCTAAACTACATGAACTATATGTTAATCATGGCCACATATACAAACTAGATTACGTTATGTGTTAAACACCATTACCATAAAATCTCAGAACACAGGGATGTTGACTCCGGCAACGTAACCCGTTGACTCATCGGAACCCATTAAATAACCGGATCCCTCACTTACAACCCGTAACCCAGACCCGACCCGACTCATCCTTCTTTCTGTTGGGCCTAACACTTAATGGGCCTAATTATTAAACAAATCCGGCCCATTTATATATGACCATAATCGATTAACGATTCATCATCTCTTCCCCAAATCTGAGAAATCGATTTTTTAGGGTTCTTGGTGTTCATCGTGAAAAGTTGATTGAAGAAGGAGAGAGAGAAGATGGACACAAGCTCGGGATCTTCCTGTAGCAATCGGAGTAGATATGGAGGTGGACAAGTTTGTGACTGTGGATTGGCGGCAAAGATTTTCAAATCCAAAACGGAGCGTAATCCAAATCGAAGGTTCTATGGATGTGAGTTGTACAAGGTATATCTCGTAAGTGATTCATAACAATCTTGAGGTGATGAGATTTGACACATATGGAGTCGTTTGATTAAGTTGTTTACCTCATCGGAACAAGAATTCACTCGCGACTTTTTCTTCTCTCTCGGTTTAAAGCAACGATTACCAGATTACTCTTCTCTACATATGATTTCAAGCAACATTTACTCTCGGAAAAAAAAACCCTAGGTGAAATGGAGATTTCGTCTTCACCCAGATCATAAAACGCACCCACTCGTAATGGATGAGAAACATTTTACGGATTAGGGTTACGGCAAATTTGATGGGCTGGATTTGTGGGTTAATTGGGCCCATTAAGTTTCAGGTCCAGCAAAAAGAAGGATGGGTCGGGTCTGGGTTATGGGTCGTAATTGAGGGATCCGGTTATTTAATGGGTTCCGATGAGTCAACGGGTTACGTTGCCGGAGTCAACGTCCCTGTGTTCTGAGATTTTATGGTGATGGTGTTTAACACATAACGTAATCTAGTTTGCATATGTGGCCATGATTAACATATAGTTCATGTAGTTTAGGATCCATTATTAAACTTCGCATGTGTGGCCATGTCTTTGCCTATATTTGGTGTAGCCAGCCATCTTTTTTCCTTCTTCTTATGATCAGTTTTGAACATCACCTTATCTTGACGCCTGTTAATGGTCTCTTTTGTGACCCTCTTACTCTGAGATATTAAATTGATACCCTCTGACTTTGAGACATTAAATTGCTGAGACTCAACCACATCATGAACTGGCTCGTGACAACCAATGATAAGCCCTTGATTGTGAGCAGTATAACCACACATAGTATTCTCCTGAAAATCATGCATATTGTATGATATACCTTCAGATGTTACAGGAAATTGGGTGTTATAGGTCATTGGAAATTCTAGATCGTTGGTTATGTTATATTGAAATCCCTCAAAAACATTTGTGTTTGGGAAAGAATTTATACCCATAAATGGATTTTTTGTGGGTATTTCAATTGAAGGATGTCTGGAAAATAAACGATTTTGAATATCCCAATTGTGAGGATCGGAATTTTGGTTTGGGGTTGATGAAATCTGATTTTGGTGATACATCTTCGAAAAAAAATCAAAAAGAAAGTTGAGGCTGTTAAATTATGACCAAGAGATTTAAGATGTTCTTTTTGTTTATGTAAATAAGAAAACTATTAAATAAAAGCAATAAGAAAACATTTAATTAAGCGCGATATATTAAATATGACACTTATGGTTCTCTTACAAATTAGGATTTAAAATTAGTATCATTATTACTTGTAAGTAAAAAAAGTTAAGAATCTTGAAATCATTATGACTTATTAGGAATTTTGGGCTTTGATATGAAAACTTTTAAGACACGTAATAGACATGTAAGAAAGTTTTTAATGGTCAAAGTTTTTGTTTTAGGTAAGATTTTTTTGGACTCAAACAATTAGAAACTCTTTACTAATATTAGCAGCGATGGCTGTCAAATAGTTTGTATTGTACATTTCCTTGAAATGTCCAGTCACGTGCTAGACATGTAAGAAAGTTCATATAGTAAAAGCTTATTTTTTGGTAAAATATTTTGTGGTTTGGAATAATTAGATATGTAAAATTGAAAATAAAAGGACAAATATTTAAACATTTGTCCATCTATATATTCTAGGTTCAAGATTTGTGTTATATGCTTTAATATAATTAAAATCCTATTATTTTCCCAGTTCATAGAAATCTTACAAAACTATCAACATGCATACTACTCTTGAGAGCTTTTTCTTTTCTCAACAAGAAAGGTTACTTCATGTGCTTCTCTTCCAAAGAATAAGTCACAGTAACGCACCAATCCTGCTAGCCCGTGGAGAGAGTTTTATTTACTCTCATTGGCCAAATTGTTCCCCTTTATCCACTAAGATCCATCAAACCTGATGTTTTGCATATTCCAAATAATACTAAGTCAAAATGTGACATCCTAGCTCCAAGCCCGAAAAATCGGTCCAACTTGTTTTAAACTAATCGGGTAGAGTGTTAGACTAAACACTAAAAACCGATTATGGTTAACTGGTGATTAATGGGATAGTAATTAATATTGTAACGGTTGGAATCATTAAAACTCACTTGTATACATTCATTTGAAAATTAAGGACATGAATGGTGTGTCCTAAAGTAATAAAATAAGACATTTAAAATGGAAAAATATAAAAGTACAATGGTTCAAGAATATAATTAATTTTTTTTCACATCTCCTTTTCTCGAGAGTATGTTAGCCGCACAAAAAAAAGAGACTTGCATATATATTTTCATGTGTTTTGTCCTCACTGAAAAGTACCAGAAATCATTTATCTTTTTAATATTTTTTGTCATTGGGTGAGTAATTTTTATTCCGATAATAATTGATCTTTTGATAATAGAATTCCAAGAAAAAAATGCATAATTTATATGGAAGAAGACTTTAAAATCACTTTAAAAAATGGAACTAAAAGAATAGTTAATTTTCAGATTGATATAAATCAAGAGCATTGACATCTATTTATTCGTTTACTCTAAGAACATAATTAACAAATCACTAATTTTATGTTTTTCCAATGGAGACAATAAAATTATCAAAAAAATAATTTATATATTACCAAAAAAATATAATTTTGATATTTATATGTTTTTATACTTCAAATAATTACAAATATGAAACATTCCATCCTTTCATAAAAATGTTAGAACGAAACCAAAATCTACACGAATATTTGACACAACAATTGTAAGACGTGAAAAAAAAACAATCAATAGTTAAAAGCCATTAACATGAAAAAGCGCAGTACATAGAATCGTGGTCATCTAAATTACGAGAAATTTTGTAATATCCCGGTTTCAGGAATATGGTGGTGCATACGAAGAGATTTAAAAGAATTGATTTAGCCACCAAAGTGCACATATCTTTTCGGTCAACTGTCCTGAGAAAACTCCACAATTAAGCGTGCTTAAGCTGAAAAAGTTTCAGGATGGGTGACCTTCCGGGAAGTGGTTGTTGGAACTGTGTGAGTGAGGAAAAAACCCAGAAAAATATCATTTGGTGATTTTTAGGGTCGGTAAACAAGTCTTTAAAGCCTCCCGGACGTAGCGGACCAACCGTCAGAAGATGGTGGACGTGGGACCCATTAAGAAAGATGGCAGTCGGGGTGTTACAACTGATTTCAGAGCTGAATCCAGATGAATGTGAGGTAAAGAGAGCTCACACCGCCGGAGCTGACGGTCTTCATGCACAACGAGGACGTTGCGATCTGTTAGTGGGGGTGAATTGTAACACCCCGGTTTAAGGGATATGGTGGTGCCTGCGGAGAGGTAGAAAAGAATTGATTTGGCCACCTATGACATCAAAGTGCACTTATCTTTTCGGTCAACTGTTTTAAAAGAATTCCACAGTTAAGTGTGCTTAAGCAAAGAAATTTTCAGGATGGGTGACCTTCCGAGAAGTGATTGTCGGAATTGTGTGTGTGAGTGAGGACAAAACACAGGGAATGATGATGTGGTGATTTGTAGAATCGGTAAACAAGTCTTTAAAGCCCCCCGGACGTAAAAGACCAACCATCAAAAAATGGTAAGTCCACTAGCCGAGAAAAGATGTTGGACCTATTAAGAGAGATAACGGTCGGGACGTTACAAATTTTTTGCTCTAAGGGATTTCATATATAACTAAGCCCAAGTCCAATAAAAAAAATTAAAAGAGCATTGGGACAATCACATTTAAAAACAACTGAGGAGAGAGCTCATGTACTAGAGGAGATAGTACAAGTTTGATAACGATCGATCAAATTGGAGATTTGGAGGTTTATGTGCTACGTGTGAAGGAGACGACTCCGTTTAAAGTAAGAGTTTCTCGAAGCCTTTCAGAGAGATATATAGGGTTTACTCTCAACTCTCAACTCTCAACTCTCAACTCTCAAGTCTGTTGAAGCCAATGTCACGTGGAAGGCACGTGAGTGTTAAGTTGTCGTTGTAAAAACAGAAGAGAGGATAAGGTCGATTCTATTAGGAATATTTGGGAAACTAATACGTTTTCGAAAGATAATAGGAAAAGCAGTACAAACACTATTTATAATTGGCAACATCCCATGTTTCACTGTGCTGTCCTGTTTTGAAGACAATGTAACCCTCATATATTTCTTATATTTACATTAATGCCATCAACATACTTTAAGCATTAAAAATAAATTAAAAAAATGTTTTTTTTTGCTCCTTCTTTCTCGCCTCATCTTCTCCATCGATTTTCAATTTCATCTTCTTTCTCTCCTCATCTTCTTTTTTCCAAGTCTGAGAATTTTCTACAGGAATAAAAATCTGATTTTCTCGATGAAATAGTTTCGATTCTGCATCTCTATTTGAGGATGCCAGCTAAAAAAAACTCACTTTTCTGTGAATCGTTTCTGTTCGAATCTCTCCGCCGCCGAGAAAAAGTCATCAAGCTCTGCCTGCATCGGTGCTTTTTCCATCATATTCTCCGTCTTTCTTTGATCTCTCCTCTCCGTCGTCGCCAGCAAGAATAAACCACCATTTTTTCTCTCTCTCTCTCTCTCCTCGCCAGCTTCTACAATTCGAAAGTTCTTCGCATCTTGCTGTCATCACTCTCTCGCGAATCGAATCACGATTCATAATCTTCTTCATCTCTATTGCGATCTCTCTGAAATTTGTGGCTTCATGATTTCAAAATCTCTACTTGCATCACCAATCGTTGTGGGTGAGGGGTTTTGTATCGACGACATCTATAGCTCCGGAGAAGCATACTCGTCTTCGATGTTCTTCTTCTTCGTTTTGATTTTCAGATTTGTTTAACTCGGCCGCTGCGTTGACTTAATATTCTTGAGAGAGAGAGAGAGAGAGAGAGAGAGAGAGAGAGAGAGAGAGGAGAATTAAGAGACTCAGAATCAGTCAGACTCGGGATCTTTCTCGGCAATGCGACGCTTGTTCACCGCGAAATCCCTCTCCAGAGAGGAACCAACCTTTTTATCATTCTCTTCTTCTTCGGCGACGCGTTTCCACAAAGCTCTTCTTCTTCGCTCTCGTCTTCCTCTCCGTTCAGATCCAAGACATGTCCGCTAATTCTCATCCTCCTAATTCCAAAAATGTCCTCTGCAATGCAGCCGCCGGTGCCGCCGCTGGTAATTCTCTCATCTGCTTCTTTCGAAACTTTATCTTGATTTTGTTTTGGTTTATTAAAGTTTCAAAATTTCTGATAGGGGTTGTTGCGGCTACGTTTGTGTGTCCTCTTGATGTTATAAAAACGAGGTTTCAGGTTCATGGGCTACCAAAGCTCGGCGATGCAAACATCAAAGGTTTGTCCTTTTCTCCTTTAAATTTTCTCAGAAATTAGATTCCATTGCTGATGTTAGTTTTAATGATATCTCGTTTTTGATCAGGTAGTCTAATTGTTGGCAGTCTTGAGCAGATCTTCAAGAGAGAAGGGATGCATGGCTTATACTGCGGACTTTCCCCAACTGTGATGGCTCTTCTCTCCAATTGGGTAGTGAGTTTTACTTCTTCTTGGAGCTATCTTCTTTAATTCGTATTTCTTGTATTTGGGGACTGATTTGGACTTTTGCAGATTTATTTTACAATGTATGACCAGCTCAAGAGCTTTCTTTGTTCAAATGGTTAGTGCTTCTGAACTCAAACCTTCTTGATAATGATAGCTGTTTAAGTGGCTGTTTCTGCGTCATTTTTTAATCAAAACTTAAAAATTCTTCTCTGATTGTTGTAATTAGATCACAAACTCAGCGTTGGTGCTAACGTATTGGCTGCTTCTGGAGCTGGAGCTGCATCTAATTAAATGATGAATTTGTGGAATTGAAACGTTAAGGCATTGGAGAATGGAGATTTGGAGAATGGAGATTTGTTCATCTCTTGGGAAGCTGAGTCAGACGAAAAGGCTTATCCACATTTGGGACTAATGGGAGAAGTGATAAGATCCAAGGAAGAACGAACTTTGAGCATAGTAGCAATGAAGTTATAATTGTCATCTGCCAAACAGTTAAACTTCTGTGTTTGTAGCAATTAATTAAAAACATGGGTTTAAATTAAATTAATCAACAATTAAGGGTAGGTTAAGTTGAAACCGAAAATGACTATGACCGGGGTTGTGGTTTAGAAGACCGCCACGTATAGTGTCTCAGAGACTTCGAAAAGATCCACCATTCCTGCTTGTTGTTACGAAATCAAATCATTGAGTTTTGAAGTTAAAAGAGTTCGTGGAGAGGACAAACTCGCAACAAATTAATTTATTTATCCGACGAATTTTCATCAATTTTCCTCTCCATGTCCAACATTGAATTGTATGTAGTTGGAGATAATCGTAAGATACGAATAAAGAAGTGATTGATGGGATGAAGATAATGCTAATCTGAATTTCTGCATAAATGAGTATGTTTATACATATTCAGTCTATCAAAATTACCCACTCATACCAAATGTTTCCTATCTTATTTTGTAATTTTGTTAGAAGCATAATATTGTAATAGCCTAAAGAAAATAATATCGACTACATCATTCTACAAAATTCGAAGAAACCCAACCGTGTAAGAATTAATGGCGTAGAAGTTATACTAAGTGAAAGAAAAATCCCCTAAAAAGTTAAAATGAATACAAACAAAAACAAGGATTAAAGGATAAGAAGAGAAATGAGGTTCACCAGTAAACTCAATCAACTGAATACTAATAAACTCCGATACATCGGAAGTTTATCAACAGAAAAAGAGAGAGAATGAAGAAGCTATAACAAACTTTATTCAACGTAAAACTCTGTTTACAAAAACTTGACTCACTAATCTCAACGTCATTCAACAGTGATCTCAATCGTGTCGGTGGTCCAACCAACTGTACAGTGGTCTATATCTATATCTATATATGTATCTGTACAGTGGTCTATATCTGTATCTGTACAATGATCTATATTTGTATCTGTACAGTGGTCTTTTGTACAATGGTCTATATATGTACAGTGGTCTATATCTGTACAGTGGTCTATATCTGTACAGTGGTTTATATCTATATATGTACAGTGGTCTTCTGTACAGTGGTTTTCTGTACAGTGGTCTTCTGTACAGTGGTCTTCTGTACAGTGGTTTTCTGTACAGTGGTCTATATCTATTTGTACAGTGGTTTTCTGTACATTGGCTATATCTGTACAGTGGTCTATATCTATATCTATATTTGTATCTGTACAGTGGTCTATATCTGTATCTGTACATTGGTCTTTTGTACAATGGTCTATATCTGTACAGTGGTCTTCTGTACAGTGGTCTATATCTGTACAGTGGTCTTCTGTACAGTGGTCTTCCGTACAGTGGTCTTCCGTACAGTGGTCTTCTGTATAGTGGTCTATATCTGTACAGTGGTCTATATCTATATCTGTACAGTGGTCTTCTGTACAGTGGTTTTCTGTACAGTGGTCTATATCTGTACAGTGGTCTATATCTATATCTATATTTGTATCTGTACAGTGGTCTATATTTGTATCTGTACAGTGGTTTTTTGTACAATGGTCTATATCTGTACAGTGGTCTTCTGTACATTGGTATATATCTGTACAATGATTTATATATGTATATATATTATTTGTATAGTGGTGTGTAATATAAATTTTAAAAATTATTAAACAAAATGCATATCAAATGATAGAGAAAAAAACATAGATTTTTATTTATATGATCAATTTTAGAAAAATTAAATTTACGAACGAGCATTTTAATAATCAAATTTTGAGGGAATGAAATGTAATAAAGAAAGAAAAAGAAATTTATAAAAAAACATGACCCACTAAAAAAGTCCCTACACGTCTATCTCTCTCTCTCACCAAGTCCTTACTTGTAATTTCCATTCTTTGCCCTCTACCCCACTTTCTCTTCTATCTCACAAGTTTTCTATTTCACAAACAGTAAAAACTGACTATTTTACTAATTATGAATAGTAACCGTACTACTTCTACAATTATGTTTCAGAAACGTACTACTTTCCCAACAAATCCATTCTATTACACAGCTTTGTTATGTTTTCTCTTCCCCTTTAGATAATTCGTCTTCAATTAGTTTTCTCGGCTTCATTTCGATCAGTTGATTTATTCGGTTACCGGAGAATAAGAGAAATTTGCGAGTTGGATGATTGAGGATAAAACCTCACACAAAACCAGATACTTTGACACTTATTAAGCATTATGAAGCGTTATCTATTAGATCTTAAAAAATATACAAATCCATTAAAATCATATTAAGTATTTCGGTTCAAATCAAATCGAATTGGTTTATCAAATCGAAGAATGATTATACAATTAATCTTACACATACATGTTTATATATGCATGTATAAAGAAGATAGATATCATATAATATGATCATAGTTAGGTCTTGAAGCTGTATAGCTCCACATGTGTTTTGACAATATATAAAAATAAAGTAAAAACGACAATAAGTGTGGCTAATCAGTATCTAAAGTCATTTAAGATTTTGGATTAAATGTTATTAACAACACCTTAAGCTCTTGAAAAACCTTCTCTATAAAAGCAGTAGCTACCTGCCCACCACCTCAAAATATCAACTCTCTCTCTCACTTTCAGAACTCTCCTTTTCTATTTCTCTCTAGAAAAATATCCTCTATCAATCATATAGAGTAATTTCATTACAATGGAGAAAAGAGAAAGTAGTGGTGGGTCTGGATCAGGAGATCATGCAGAGGTGAGAAAAGGGCCATGGACGATGGAAGAAGATATGATTCTCATCAATTATATCGCCAATCATGGTGAAGGTGTTTGGAACTCTCTCGCCAAATCTGCAGGTCAAATTCTTTTTTATATATATATATATATATATATCAAGATCTCCAATATAAGTTATGCATAATATATGTGTGTGTTGATGAACTAGGGTTTGATCTTCACCTTCGAGGATATTATAAACATTTTAATCACTATATGATGATTTCAGTTTTTTTTTTTTTTTTAAACCTTTTATGGGTTGGATAAAAACTATACTTGAGCTTTTTGTTACTCAATCGATCTAAATATGATTATATGAATTAGGAAATTTTCTTTTCATATGAAAACAAGAAAATGGAAGCAAGACTATCCCCAAGATCTTAACACATATATAAGGGAAATCAGTAAAGAAATTTTTTTTCTTATGCCCGGATCTTAATTGAATGTTTGCTAAAAGCGGTCTTGACTGAAAAACATAAATCATCGTTTATAAATCTCTATTGTATGTATATCTAACTGGATTAGAAATTAACTACATATAATTGGAACTTTTTCTTCAAACAGATCGCTTACAAAAGGTCTTGTTTCAAACTTTATATACACACAAGCAATTAGTAATATACTACCGCAATAGCTAGGGTTTTAAAAAGTTGACCTTTCTTCTTACACTCCTGATGTAAGATAAACAAACTTATCTGGTGAAATAATCTCTGGTTAGAATTGTCACCGAAATCCACTAAAAATTGATTAGGGTTTAAAAAAGAAGAATAATTCTAAAAGTTATTTTAAACTAATAGCTAAAAACACTAATAGAAAATGAAAAATATATATTTAATTTCTTCTTTCTTTCACAAATAAATAATACATATATATACATGCATGGACATAAATAATTTTGTTTTGGCTATGGACATGCACACGATTGATATTTTGTTTCTTCGTAATTGATTGTAATATAGGACTAAAACGCACCGGAAAAAGTTGCCGGCTCCGGTGGCTGAACTACCTCCGACCTGATGTGCGACGGGGAAATATCACAGCAGAAGAACAGCTCATCATCATGGAACTTCATGCAAAATGGGGAAATAGGTTAGTGGTTACCTAAATACATTAAATTCTAAGATAATCAGGTTATGTGTAACGAGAGAAGCAAAGCTAAGTTTTCGAACATTGGATCCGTTTTATATATATTCTTGAGGCTAAAGACTGAAATGATCTTTAAAGAGACATCAAAGCAAGACATTAGGTAACGAAGCCAAACATATTGGTGGGTATAACAAAACTTTCCAATTCTTTTCAGCCATTTGTTTGAGTTTTACACACGTTTCGAAATTTCCTCACCACTAACATTAAACCTCGTGCCGATTCTCCCACAAACTTGTGCATGGTTGTTATTCTTTTACACGACCATATACAAAGACATATACCAAAATACGCATAAAAGTGATGGATATACCGAAAGTTAGATATTCCATATGGTGGTGTAACTGAAATTTTGATTGAAGTTGAATATTATTTATTTTTTCAAAAAAAAAAAACAAGTTGAAGAGTATTTGATTTAGTTACTTATCTTTCGGGTCTTGGCTCTTAAATTTTTTTAAAAAATAATCTCACTCTTGCCATGTAATAATAGCATATATTTTTTATATATGAATGTTAACTTCATTAAGGAATGAAAGGGTTTGTAACTAATTACAAAATCGAAGCATTTGGCAAATGTTGTTCTAAAATCAAAGCTTACAAAGTCTCAATGCAAACCTTTTTTTATATTCCTCGATGTAGATGTATGTAGCTGTTTCCTTGCATCAACAACCTTCAAATATAAACATTTGTTCATCATAACAAAATATATAATTCTTCATTATGATTAGGTGGTCAAAAATTGCAAAGCATTTACCAGGAAGAACCGACAACGAGATAAAGAATTTTTGGAGGACCAAGATCCAGAAATACATAATCAAGAACGGAGAAACGACGACGGTTGGATCACAAAGCTCCGAGTTCATAAACCATCATGCGACAAGCACGAGCCATGTCTTGAATGATACTCAAGAAACCATGGATATGTATTCTCCAACGATGTCGTATCAACATGCCAACAATATTAATCATCACCTTAACTACAGTAATTATGTGCCTGAATCGGAGTCGATCATGATGCCATTATCAGTTGATCAATCCGAACAAAACTATTGGAGCGTCGATGATCTATGGCCCATGAATTTATATAATGGTAATTAATTAATAAGTTAGTTAAAACCTTATATATATATTTACGGTCCAAAGAGGGTAACAATATACGAGTATTTCTAGGCCTAATACTTAATATAAACAGATATGAGAATATATGAGAATACTATATGGGTTTGCCTCATTGTTTAGAGGGAGATTTTATAGATATTTTTATATATAACTCGTATTTGCTATATATAAGCACCCATTTCCTATTGTTATTGCACCAATTCGACTTTTACATAAATAAAACAGCGGAGTGAACCATATAATTTCCGTATTTTAAAATAGTTGGTTAGTGCTCTCTTGTTAAAGAATGGTCGTTTGATGTATCATGTATGTCAGTATGTATAAGAACACCCTGCAATATATCTTATGTTTTTTTGTCATCATATTATGTTTTTAAATTTAGGTGTGTGTATTTTTTGTTTCTATGGACATGGTGAAAACTGAAAACTGAAAACTAGATATAATTTTGGAGACAAACATCCAAAATTTGAGATCTAATTATTTGTATTTTTATTTACATACATTGTGCCAATTTGACAGAGTGGTGATAGTAGCTCTAACCAGTACATGTGGATCGATGAATGAAAGGCCCACGTAGCTCTAAGGAATTTCAAATCAACTTTTATCCTTAATTAATTAAGAATATAATCAACCTGAAATGATCATCTATTTCTGATGTGGCACACGTCATGTCTATAGAGTAATTTTAGAAACATTTTCCCATCAATTAATTTCTATAGAAAAAGTGGTCTATGGTATAGATATGGTTATCGTAAAAATCATTTAAAAAAATTAAAGGCCTTCTCTATAGTTTTAACCAGAACCGATCCTAAGAATTTGAAGGTCAGAAGCAACAAAAGAATTTCAAAGCTTATTATTTGTAAAGATTCTAAAAGAAAAACAATAAAAATAGAGGTAGGAGATTCAAACTGCTTACCTACTACTTAAACATTAATATTGACAAAACACGGCCGGTTAGATACATAAAGGATTTAGAACTGCAAACCCATGCTTCTTTTACTTGGCCTCAAAATCCGGTTCTGATTGTAACAACTTAAAAAAGTATGAAAAAATTTGATATATAATTTAATTTTTGAAAAGTCCTTAGATTTTTTTTTTTGGGGTCAAATTTAGAAGCTAACTAAAGATTAAAATGAAATATGGAAACAAAATTAAGGTTACATACTTACATATATATCAAAAGAGTTCATCAAACATTTTTTGTAAAAAAATTTTTCCTGAAATTTCTAAAAATTATATAAAGTCTCTTTTGGGTGTGGAAATACATGTACATGTGGATGAATGAAAGGCACATGTCACATGCTATATAACATTCATAAACATGTATAACCTAATCTATTAACCTATATATAGTCATAGAACATGTGTCATATAGGTTTTTACAATTTCCCCACTTATTATTATAACCCTTATTCCCAATGTATCCAGTTTTGTGCATGACAATGCAACATGTGGAACCCGACGTTAGCCTAACTCTTTGAGCCGAACTTTCAAAACCTCAAATATTTCTAAGAAATTTCCATTAGAGGAAGAAAAGAAAGACAAAATGAATGAACCAACAATTTAAATACTCGATCTAAAGATAATATTAGCAGAAAAATTAGTTTTCAAGAAAAAAAAATAGCAGATAAAAAGAATGGTAATTGATGTGGAATAGTTGATGTGCATCAATGCTGTTGGTCGACTATAATGATAAACAAAGCGGTTAAAGTATTGGTTAGTATATCAGAAATTCAGAATGCTATAACACCTAACGTCTAGATTAACTTGAGCTTTAGCAATTAGCATGATGATTAATTTTTAATCCAAAAATCATCTGATATTACTAAAATAGTAATAAAGAAGAATAATCGGACCGGCGACAGTGGCGGAGGTACTTGAGAGGTAGGGGGGTCAGTTGACCCCTATAACTTTTATGAAATTTGTTTTTTTAAGCCTAAAAAATTACTAGATGATGAATTTTTGGCTAGAAACATATAGTATGACCCCTATACCCACACCTCAAATCTTCTTTTTGCACCCTACGTCAAACTTTTTCAATTAATCGTTTCTTGCTTTTATTGTTTAATTTATAATATTGAACCCTTATTCTTTTTCATATTAGTTCTCATATTTCCCTACTTACATATTTTTCCTTTTTTCAATATATAATAATTAAATTTGTATTATTGTATATATCAACAATAATTTTTTATTAAACTAAAATATTATAAATTTTTATTTAAAATACATGTATGACCCCCGTAATATATATTTTTGGCTCCGCCACTGACCGGCGAGGGTATTATTCGTGGACGACAAGAAGTTCGGTAAGGGAGTGAGTTCACTATAGTTATTAAGACGGCCGGCATATCTAAGGTTTACCAAACTTTTTGCTTTAGCCACAGGGAATCTTTTGCCCCAAGAGGCACACTTGTAAAAATATATAACCAAATTAAATATAGGTTAATATGTATATATATCAAACTAAATCAATATATATCAAATGTTATCCTCGCATATATACAATTTATTTCACATATGTAATAGTGGTAGAGATCATCGTCTTAGTTGAGACTTAATTAATTAATATGAATAACAAATTACATCTATGTATGGTTTCGCTATTATTTCTAATCATGTAGATTAAAACCATTTTCTTAGGAAAGAGATATACATTAAGGTGCACAATCTGGATTTGGATGGATAGAAAAAGTAGAGGCATTGGTTTAGTTATCAAATGTTCTCATCACACCAAGAGACTTAGATCTCAATCAATGTTTCCATATTGATAAATAAAAAAACTTATAAAGTAGACAAACCGTTGATATAATATTTCACGTCCAAAGAGAGTAGATCACCTCATGATGACCAAGTTGCTTATAGTGTTTAGATTGTATAGCATTCATATTCTAACTGAATCTAGAACATATGCTCAAATCATTTCGTTTGGAGTTTTGACCCATCCTCAAGTCATCTTATATATGCATTCTAGGCAAGTACATACATATATGAAACATTAAATTTGTTGAATTAGGTTGCATGTCTTGTTAGTTTTGCCCACATGTTTTTCGTGTGAAAATTGTGAATTTCCCATGTGAATCATAAATGAACACATAACATGGTGGGTCGTTCACAACTTACAATTGGGAATTATTTAAAACGGGCATGAATTTGTGTTCCATTTTTTCATTATACTTTTGTTCCTCTTTCCTTGGCAATGTAATGATCCGTCTCTTACGTAGCCTTGGGCCTTGGGCTTTTGAGATTGATTGATACATATCACACAAGTTGGGTTCAAGCTCATTGAGCTTTCTTTTAAACTATGGTTAAGTGGGGAATCATATATATATTATATACTTCCCCTAAGAATATTTTTCATACCTCTTCGGCTTTTACATGGTATTACAGTTCTAGTAGAGACTATATACAGTTTTTTCAATTGGTTTTACTGTCGATTCTAACATAGAATCATGGATCATCTCGGGAGAACGTGTTGTTCGAGTAAAATTAACACAATCAAGAAATTTCCGTTTAGATTTATTGAATTAAGATATATAACACACTACACATGTTGCTCGCCAAGAAAAAATAGATCAAAACATATGAATTGGATCAAAAGATTTATTTAAGCGATTTTCTTAGATGGTGTAACATAATTTGAACCAAAAGATAGTAATGAATAAGATCGGCAAAACCATGACCTACTAACATTGTACCTCTTCCAGTGTGCATGTTGCCAAAGTTCAATTTACCCAAAAGTTTTTGAAGATATAATGGGCCGAGACTAAGAGGTTTTACTCTCACCGATAGCTAAATTTTTTTCACACTTTCATCTTTATGTATATTAATCAGGGCCGGTCCTTGACATTATGTGGCCTAAAGCATGCTTAAACTATGTGGACTTCTTATATACTAATGATTAAAAAAATTAACATTAAAACACTATAATTTTTTTTTGTAAATCATCAGATATAGTTGATGAATAAAACATTAAATATATTAACAACGTAAGACAATCTAATTTATTTCCGCTCACAAAAATAAACTTTTCTAATTTTTTCTTCAACAAATTCAGTAATTAATTAGGTTTTCATAGTCGAGTAATAATAGATTAAATCAGAAATATATATACAGAAATGTAATTGTTGTCATTTTCGTGATCGTGATTCGTAAACATAGATATTGAATCTCACAGTTATATATGATATTGAATATCACAGTGACGCTAGTAATTAGTTCTGTTGTTCTTACGAAAATGATTAGCATGATCACTTTAGCAAATAAAATCTATTAAAAAAAACTGGAGGGAAGAGAAGAATAAAGAGATAATTAAAGAGAGAAGCTGGAAATATTACCCCAAAAAAGAAGGAACCGTGACTTCAAAGGGATTCGAATTCTATACCTACAATAAACTTTTGGACTATATAACCACTGAGCAAATATAACATTTAGAAAAATATGGCCCTAAAATTTAGTTTATATTCAGTGGCCTAAAGCTTGTGCTTTAGTTGCTTTATGACAGGGCCGGCCTTGATATTATTAATTATCTAGAATGTTTTAGAAGCTTTGAATGTCTTAGAAATTTGCAAAGATTGTATAGAAGTGTAGAAGGATATAGATCAATCTCCACCGTTAGATCAGTTTAATCCATATATCCTTTGTGGAAGTGAATTTGTTTTTTTCTGAGTTGGATTCCTCATTGAAAAGCATCCAAATATATATACAATACCGTCTTAATCTATAGAAGGGCATTTGGTAAAACTAAAAAAAAAAAACTTTTTTAACAAAAATTTTCTTAAAAAAAAATTGGACCCTTTTTCTTCGTTAATTTTTTAAAAAATGGCTTTGGACCCATAGCAAATGTCTATATTACAATGGGGTAGAAACGGACCGTCTATGTTGCCATGGGTAGAGACGGGCCTATATATATACAAGTAATTAAACACTGCTGGCTTTGGACCCATAGCAAATGTCTATATTGCAATGGGGTAGAAACGGACCGTCTATGTTGCCATGGGTAGAGACGGGCCTATATATATACAAGTAATTAAACACTGCTCTAAGCAACTCTCTCTAAATACCGGGATCACTCTAAAGATGATTTGTAACTGCAAGCACTAAATTTTAAAAGACTCATCAGTCGTCATCAACAAGCACTAAATTTTAGATAACTGGTGTAATAATAAGATTGGGCCGAGCAAGTCCATATTTCACAATTTTAAAAACGGCAAATATATGTGTCGTTTCAAATACCAAATTCAAAATCTCTGCTTTTATTACTCAGCTTATTAAGCCGTCTAAGCATATTACAGCTGTCAATCATCGAAAGCATGTGACGCGTCTCTCATTTCGCATCCCACTCGCGTTCATATACACGTGTTATCCATTCTCCATTCGATTACCGCCACGTAAGAATCCAGATAATGACATATCACAGAGAAAGCGAGTAAGCTACATTTTATACTCGCGGAGCTGGTCAGTTTGTCGTGAAAGCGACACGGCTGATAAGATATATAGGGAAATAAATTACAAACGTTGTCTTATTCATGGTGCAAAAAAAAAAGCAGATAAGTAAGCAAAAAAATCATTAATTACGAAAATACCCTTAAATTTCTCCGATAGGGAAAAAAAAAAGTTCTGCGCCGCGTTTCAACGCTCAATAGTGTTTCATCTTCTCTCAAATCAAAATCCAGAGAGACAAAAAAAAAGATTTTTTCTCATCAGATTCTGAAGAGTGTCTTTGTTCTTCTTACAAAGAAGTTTTCTTTTTTCTTGAAGATTCTTCGGTTGCTGTTCGAAAAGTTTTCGTTTTCGTTTCTCTCGGAGCTCAAAATCAGGTATAAATTATTAATTTTCAGATATTTTGTTGTTTGTTTTTCATGAGATTTAAACCTAATTTATAATTTAATTTGGTTATTTGGGAGATATTGTTGGTTTCGTGTGTCAATAGTTAGGTTATTTTTTGTTTTTCTGATTTGTTTGTCGTTTTCTGATTTTTTTTTTTCTTCTACAGTCGGCGAGAACGTTTTTCTCGGGAAAAAAATGGAAATGGAAGTTGTTTTGGGAATCGGAGAAGAGGCGAGACCTAAACCTTGTTCTTCGGAGATTGAATCAGCTGAGAAAACCCTAAAAGATGATGGTGTTGTTCAAGAGAACGGTGTTAGGGTTTCTGAAAACGGTGAGAAAAACTCGGATGCTATTGAAGATTGTGTGATGAATGGAGTTTCTTCTTTGCTGAAATTGAAGGAAGATGTGGAAGAAGAAGAAGAGGACGAAGAAGATGATGAAGAAGAAGAAGAAGAAGAAGAAGAGCATGGATACTGTGTAGGAGATTTTGTGTGGGGTAAAATCAAGAATCATCCATGGTGGCCAGGTCAGATTTATGATCCATCAGATGCTTCAGATTTGGCTTTGAAGATAAAGCAGAAAGGGAAATTGCTTGTGGCGTGTTTCGGAGACGGGACATTTGCTTGGTGCGGTGCGTCGCAGTTGAAACCGTTTGCTGAGAGTTTTAAAGAGTGTTCAAAGGTGAGTAACTCGAGAGGGTTTCTCGGTGCGGTGGAAGAGGCGGTTGAAGAAATTGGTAGACAGATTGAGCGTGTATTGGTATGTGATTGTGCTGAGGAGAAGCATAAGTTTGATAGTCCTGTAGTTAACAATGCTGGGATTAAGGAAGGTGTTTTGGTGCCCGATGTGAGACGGGAAATGATTTCGTCGTTACTGGTTGGGAAACATGGAGAGATTCTTAAAGATGTTAAAAGTTTTGCAGAGACGGTTAGTTTTAGTGGTTTGCTTGAGTTGGAGATATTGAAAAGGAAGGTATCTGCGTTTTATCGGTCTAATAGAGGATATGGTTTGACTGAGTATCATGAGCCTCAATCAGTTCCAGGACTTGAGGATAAGAACAACGATGATGATGATGATGAAGATGAGAATGTTAATGATGGGTTAGAATGGCATGCTAAACATTCTAGCATAGAAGAAGCTGCAGACTTGGATCATGAAGAGTCGTCTCTTCAGAGATCGTTAGAGAAGTGTTCGGGTTTTCCTGATCATAGGCTGCCCCACAGAAGGAAGGAGAAAAGCATTACTGAAATTATAGAGAATGAGTCGGCTGCTAAGGTGAGGTTTGAGACAGAACCTAAGGATGGAGATGTAAAGTCAAATGTTAAGTCGGGTAGGAAGAAAACAAAATGCCATGATGATGTTAATGGTGATCTTGAAAATGTAACCGCCACTGCACCGAGGAGGAGAAGAAAGAGTGAAGTAGCTACAATTGAAGACGCTGGTCACAAGCAAGCGGTAGAAAGTAGCAAAGGCAAAACTTCAAGGAAGAAGAAGAAAATGGATGTGGATGATGATGGGAGTGTAGACAGAGAAGAGACTGAGGAAAAAGAGATTTCAGATTTGGAAATAGATATCGATTCAACTCCATTAGCTTCTTTACGGAAAAGGGTCAGGTTTGATGATTCAAACGTTGAAAGGAGTGCTGAAAATGGCGAGACCGCTACACAAACCTCAAAGAGAGAGAGGAAGAAGAGCAAGTATCTTTCGCCTGATTACTTGTCAGATTTTTCACGGAAAGGAAGAAAAAAGAGTACAATTGAATCTGAATCTTCGAAAGTTTCAAGTCAGAGCCAAGTGGGAGAGCAAATGACTAATGCTAGTGATAGCCTCGTGGCAGTGGAAGAAGATATGTTGGATAAACCTTGTGAACCATCATCTGATAATGGGTTAGGTCACGAAGAACTGTCAGAGGAACTTAGTAACGCCGTCGACTTTCTGAGGTTGGGAGCTACACCAAAGGAAATGCTGGATCTAATTCGTGTAGCCGCTCTTGGCACACAATATCCAAAAGACAGTAGCTCAAGAGACATGGTAAGAGAATTCATGACCATCTATAGAAGCTTCACATATCATGATGGAGCCAATCACAAGTTCTTAGGGAGCTATGATAGTTCGGATAAAGAAAAGGAAGAACTGAATGAGATGGGCAAACATGTTGTAACTAAGGGAAAAGAGAAGAAAGATAAGAAGCGTAAAGCCAAGGAGCAAGCAGAGGAGATAGAGGTAACTGGAAAAGAAGAGAATGAGACAGACAAGCATGGGAAAACGAAGAAAGAGCGAAAACGTAAGAAGTCTGAATCAAAGAAGGAAGGGGATGAAGGAGAAGAAACCCAGAAAGAGGCGATTGAGTCTACAAAGAAAGAGAGAAAACTTAAGAAGTCCGAATCAAAGAAGCAAGCTGATGGAGAAGAAGAAACTCAGAAAGAGCCAAGTGAGTCAACTAAAAAAGAGAGAAAACGTAAGAAGCCTGAATCAAAGAAGAAGGCAGAAGCTGTTGAAGAAGAAGAAACTCCGAAAGATTCGGTTGAATCAACCAAGAAAGAGAGAAAACGGAAGAAGCCTAAACATGACAAAGAAGAAGTCCCGAATGAGACTGAGAAACCCGAGAAGAAGAAGAAGAAAAGAGAGGGAAAGTCGAAAAAGAAAGAAACTGAGAAAGAATTTTCAGGAGCTGAGCTATATGTTACATTTGGTCCTGGTTCAAGTTTGCCTAAAAAGGAAGATCTGATTGAAATATATGAAAAATTTGGAGCTTTGGACAAAGAGAGAACTGATATGGTCGACAACAACTTCTCTGCCCGTGTCGCTTTCTTGGATGTAGCTGATGGAGAAAAGGCCTTTGAATCCTCGCTAGAGAAATGTCCGTTTACTTCTAATTCGACCGTTAAATTCAGACTCAAGTATCCAAATGAGAGAACAGAGGAGAAGAAAACTGAAGCTGAAGTTGCAGAGACGACAATGGAGGTGGGATATCTGAAGAAAAAGCTGGAGGAGATGAAAATGTTACTTGATGGATGCGAAGGAGGAATGACTGAAGAAGTGAAAGTGAAACTTGAAGATGAGATGGTAAATTTGTTAGAGAAAGTGAGAAAGTGAGAGAGATAAGAGATCTTCTTAGGATTATTATGCTTTATGTTTTTTTTTTTTTGTTGGTTGGGAATTTTCAGGAGACTTTTGCAGGGTTTAGGATTTTTTATGGTTTCTGCAAAACAAAAGAAAACTATTTTGAGAGGGTGATGATGATACTATCATACTATGATCTTGTCATAGGTTAGAATTAGATCGATGTTCTTTTGGGCTTTAGGTGTATCACTGATATTAGTATCAATTATCTTACATATCCATTATCTTACAAGCCCACTGAGATTATCTTACGAGCAAAATTTTCAAAATCAGTCGGAAAAATTAAATTCCGTCTATGAAATTTAAGCCTGTCCATTATGGATGGATAATCTGTCCCTTCTCTTATTTTTTGAGAACGAGAAAATGAAAAACTATAATTATCCGTTTGGATCCACACAATTCATTTAAACGAATTAAAGAAAATATTAGGAATAGGTTTGAGATATACTATTTTTTTTTTCTGTCGTAAAAATAGCTAACAATGATGAAACTGTTATAAACCATATGGATGGACTCCATAACCGGCCCATGGCCCATTAGGGTTTTACCTTATTCTCTGTATCCTGCTATTATCCTTGTATATATATCCATTATTCTATTAATGAAAGACACAGTTCACAACACGTTATCAGCACGATAGCCTCTCACCCTAAAAGCTAAAAATCTCAAAACCCTAAATCTCTCACAAAAACCAAAAACCCTGGCCGTCTGAATTAAGAAAAAAAAAAAAAATTCTATCGAAACCCTAATCGATGATGTCTCAGTTTTTCATCATCTTGTCTCCATCTCCGCTTTTGATCTCCGATCCCTACGAGCCTAAGTTTTATTCTAAAAGATAAGTGGCCTCGTATTTACTTATGGTTCTGCTCATGATTTATATCGCTTTGGTCTCATTTACTTAAATCAAAATTTATTGTCCAGCCTATTTATATGGCTTCACGATCTCATCGCCATCATGTTTTTTTTGTTTGATTCTATTTGTTTGGTTAAGAATGCTTTATCATGTTATGCTCAGATCTCATTATAATACTTTAATTTTTCTCAAGTACATAACCGTGATATCTACTCCATCATGATATTTTAAAAGCTAGATTCCATCATACTTCACCATTGATCGACATATGTTTATTATTAATTGCTTTGTTTAAAACGTGAGTTGTTACCAAACTATATTTTATTATTGATCGATACATGTTTTATCACTGATTTACCTTGAACATGCTTTTAGTTATTTGGTATTCATTCATCATTGAGTTTGGTTTGGTCTATAGTTGGTTTGATAAAGTGGGTCTTTTGTTTGAAGGGATGATTAATATCTCGTGGTGAAGTAAAAACAAAATCTCGCAAAACCGTAGCGATGTTTTGTTCTCCATCTCCGCAAACGATCGTCGAGATTACTAAGGAAAAGCTTTCAATCGAGATAAGTATTTATGTTTTACACCATTATCACATCATGCTTTAATCTTAAGATGACATAAAATAATCACATAACTTTGCTCCAACTGAGTTGATCTAGTATTTGATATACGTATAATTTATGAACGATTGACTCAGGTTTAGTAAATCGATAATTTTGAATTATGATGCTTAGTGCTTTATATTATTTTATGTAAATCTATCGTTAATTTGGTATAACGTGGTTAGCTTGAGAATCTCTCTAGTGTAAAATACATGTATACAAAGACATATGTATTTGAAGAATTAATTGAGAAGTTAGTGAATGGAAAGATGTTTAATGGCATGATAGATTAAATGTTTTAATATAAACCCTAGGTTAAACCGAAAGTAAACCGAAACCCTAAATCCTAGGTTAAACCGGTTTAATAAACCCTAAGTCACGGTTTAAGATCAAGCTTCCCATAAATGGAAAGTTTCCAGAAATAGAAAGTTCCATATAAGGAAAGTTTACAGAAATAGAAAGTTTCGTAAAATAGCAAGTTTCCCAAAATGGAAAGTTACCAAAATAGGAAACCCCTTCATAAGGAAATATTCGAAAAACCCTAAAGTACACGTTTGTTTAGGATTTCTTTCTAGATGAAAGTTCCATATAAGGAAAGTTTCCATAAATAGAAAGTTTCATACATAAAACCGAAATCCTAGCAAAAACCCTAGTACTATAAATCGCGGATGCTAAAACCCTAAAACTTAACCGCGAAATCCTAATATCCTAATCTAGTATGATCTGATTGTTTGGTTGTTGCATACTAGATCAATCTTCTAGGGTTGATTTCATCCATATATATATAATATGATTGTTTAGAAAACACTTGCTGAAGACAAGCATGGCTCGGTCTTAAATACCGCATGACTTGGCCTAACCGATTACATGAGTTCTCATTTAACTCTATATATTATAGATATCAGAAATCAACTATTATGAATACACGGCACTCAATGCCTCTGGTGACAATTATTTGAAATGGGCTTTGGACACTGAGATTGTCATAAAGGAAAAAGGACTTGGTGAATCTATTGTGGAAGGAAACAATGTCACCAGAAGAGAAAGATATAAGGCGATTACTAACATACGCCATCACCTCAATGAGAGTCTCAAAATCAGTACCTCGCTATTAAGAATCCTCTGGACCTCAGGACAGAGTAATCAAAAAAAAAAAAAAAAAAAAAAAAATCAATATAACCACCAAAGAACGGTGCTATTACCCTAAAAGCCCGATTCGAACGAAAGAATCTTAGATTCTAGGAATTCAAATCCATGAATGAGTATAACTCAGCACTATTTAAAATAGTGTCAATACTGAGATTCCGTGGTAAGGAAGTTACTGAGAATGACTTGCTAGAGAAAGTATTCTCGACCTTTAATTTCACACAAACAATATATTGCCTCAGCAACAATATCGTGAAAAAGGTTTTTACCACATATGCAAGTCTAAACTCTTGTTTTTGGGGAGGACTCCTCTGTAGAGAGTGAGTGAGGCTTTGGAGAAACCGTGATGAGAACATTGATTCTGATATGCTACTTGCTGAGCAAAACAATGAGTTATAAATAGTGAAATGAGACCTCCTGGTCCTACCCCATTATCAGAAGCCCGTTGGGCTGAAGAGCCTAAAGAGCCTAAAGAGCCTAAAGAGACTAAAGAGTCTAACCACGTCCAAAGAGATAAGTATCATGGCCACAGTCATGGTAAATGGAATGAACGTGGTAGAAGTGGAAAATATAATTTATATGATCAAGGAAACCATTCATATGGTTAAGGCCACCGACCCGACTTTGGTCGTAATCGAGGTAGGCCACGGTATACCCAAACCACAACACTCAAATAAACTTGTTTGCCACTGATGAGTAATGGGGAAACCATTGGACTAAGACGTGCAGGACACCTAAGCATCTCGTTGATCTCTATCAAGAGAGTTTGAAAAGAATCAAGAAGCTCATTTAGTTCATCACGATGGTGAAGAAGATTTCGACCATGAAATAGATGATTATGAGAATTCAATAAACGAAATATCTAAAGACATGGTTCATTAGCCAAATTGCGGGTATAGCTAAATTTAGTGAAGGCTAAGGGCAGGCCCATGGCAGGCCCATATTCCCAAGGGCACGCATCCTCAGATGCTTCATATTCACCTAGCTCAAGGGGGCTTGTTGAGTTTCAAAGAAATGTGTTTGAATGGTTTCCACAATGAAACTAAGGGAAAAGGGAACAAAGGATTCCCACATATTACTAAGAGCACCCAAGACCATGAGAAGGTCTTAGAGACTATACCTGCGTCATAGACCTTTACTATGCCAATGTTAATATGATAAAGGCTAATACAGTAAACAAAAGGGTTTACTAACAAATTCACTAATGGCATGATCGGCCTGGCCAGCCTGGTTCTAACATGATGCGTAAAGCTGATATTAAAATCAAAAGGGCACACCCCTTAATGACCTCACGTGTGTAGCATGTACACAAGGGAAACTCATACTAAGGCCATCACCTGTCAAAGCAACTAGAAACTTGGTGTTTGCTAGATTGCTGGCCCAGACCATAAGTCTGTGAGCCCACATACTTAAGACTATATGTCTAGATTATGCTGGTAAATTATGTCCCAAGCATTTTATGGCTAAAGTATATCCATGAGGGGGAGAGTAGTATACCCCGTGGCACATGTCCATACTTGAACTCACAGTAGCTGCTTGGGGACACGCAATATTACATGCAACAAGAGCTTATACGCATCAGGCCATTCTAGTGAGCATAGATATTCATCATCCCAACTACTCACAGGTCAGGAGCCAGATATGTCCCATCTAAAGACATTTGGGTGTATCACCTATTTACCCATAGCACCACCACAGAGAGCAAATGATGGGACCTCAAAAGGGGATGGGAATATACGTTAAAAATGATTCTCCCACCATCATTAAGTATCTCGAGCCAAAGGCCAAATACAAAGATTGTCATCTCAATGAATCCGTTTTCCCAACACTGGGTGGAGAGACTAACAAGCTGGTCAAAGAACTTACATGGAATCAAACATCCTTCACATGGCAAGATCCTCGGACTCCATCAGAGATCCAAAAGACTATATATCTGCAAAAGCTAGCTAAAACAGTTGCCAAGATTCCTATAATGACCCAAAGAGAGTAACAAAATCGTACATACCAGCTTGTAATGCACCAGTACGTATTGATGTTCACAAGGAACACAATCAAGTTGCTACAGAGGCTACAACACGTAAGAAAAGTGGTAGACCCAAAAGGTTCCAAAGACAAGAACCCTCGGAAATCAAAGAAAGGTGCAAGGGAAACCGAGAAGGTTCAAGAAACCATAGACATAGCCAGCTAATAGACATAACCCTAAGGTACCAATCAATGAGGTTTGGGACGCCAAACCTCAAGGTCCTGAAGGTGTAAAGAGATCTCTATAAACTATATCATGTCTAGAATACAATGGAACCGAAAAAATGTCGACATAAATGATAATATATTTGCGCACAAGGTAGCAACTGAAATGAATGAGGATCAGGAGCCCACGTCTATACTAGAGTGCACTCAAAGACCTGATTGATTAAAATGGTACAAGACCATAAAACGTGGAGCTAAGAATCATTAAGAAGAAGAATGTGTTTGGTCCAATACGAAGGACACCATTCAATGTAAAGCCAGTAGGACAAATGAGTCTTTGTGATTATGTGAAATAAACATAGTGAAAGCGTGATATATCAGACACGGCTTGTCGCACAAGGATTCACACAAAGACCAGAAATAGAGGAGATATACTCCCCTGTGG